TATTCTGAGTTCATGTGTGAAAAGCTTGATTCACATGTGTATTGGTTGGATGTTACGATGACCCGCAATGTCAAGGAGTCCAGTGTAGAGGGTGTCCAATCGTCAGATGGGAGGGGACCACCGTTTTTGCTTTGGTGGATTAACGTCCCCCTCTATTCGCCAACAGTGAAGGGGTTATGGCAAGAGCCCATCACCTCCTGTGGGCAGAGCAAGTCCAATCGACCGGCAAAGTTCTCTTCAACCTTCGCAATGAAGGTCATCCGTGATTTGTGCCGGGGATTGTGATGTGTTTGTTGGAAGCGTCGGAAAATGCAGTCATTCCGACCCTTCAAGCTCGGCGCGAAAAGGTCGCTTGACTCGAATGCGCGCATCTGCTCATGCAAGATCAAGCCTGTTTTGTCTCTGTTTAACGCTTTCAGAGTTGAAGAGACATGTTTTAAGAGTTGCTATCAGTGGCGAGGACCCGACCGATACAGCACCACTAAGATGCACTTTCAAGAAAAATGCGCTGCATTGTGGTTTGGTGGTTTCTCGGCAACAGGCGAGTGTCGGCGTGCGATGTTCTGTAGCTAGTTAGACCTCCAGAAAAAACCGGGCAAAAAATCCCTTGAGTTATGCGGGGCTAAAACCTTGAAATGCGATTGAAACATGTGGGGTTTTTATGTATTTTATGCGGTGAAAAGTGTGGAAGTTTGCGAAATATGCTAAATAAGCGGGGAAAAGAATAAAAAAAAAATAATCATTGGGCTGTCCTTTGATTTTTCCTCTCTCACACGACAACCTGCCACTAACGTTAAAACCCCTTTACTATTTCAATTAACAAATTCAAATGTTTATTTATTGTCAAAAGCAATTGGGCTATATTAATGTCACACACAACACACGACACACACACCCCCCCCACACACAACACACTTCTCCGCCTCATTCTGTTTTCATTTACTCGTTAATTATCTGACCAGCTTCAATCTTGTAGGCTACTCACTTTCGTTCTTGTAGCCTCGAAACGCGGGTTTTTGGAGGATGATTGGCTCGGTGAGCGTGAGTCGTTTGGCTTTCTGTCGCAGCAGCAGAAAGCATTTTTCGAGATGTTTGAATGAATCCAGTGGGTTCGTCACCCCGTCGATTTCTCTTTATGCTCCAAAACACAGTTGCACGGGTGCAGAATAGTTTCCCCCACTTTTTTGCCCGGTCTTAGTAGAAATGGTTCGTCGGTAAATTGAGTATGGATTAGATTCTTTCCATCTTGGGTGTTTTATCTATCGTGTGACTCCACACGTTCTTCTATACAGTGTTGTTTACTGCTGTGATGCGCGAGCTGATGACGTCACGTCAAGACAAGTTTAACTGTTTTTGTTCTCTCAACTTGTGTGGTAAAATGCGGGGATTATGCGGTCTTTTGATAAATATGCGGCCTTTTAAAAATCTGTGCCATTTTGCTGATTATGCGGTAAATTCTGCGATCGCAAAATCGCGTTTTTCTGGAGGGTCTAACTAGTGTAGAAATTTGGCCGTGGGAGGCTGGGCCACTCGGGAGTTGGTTCTGGGTCGCATCTGGCCCGCGGGCCGCCATTTGAATAGGCCTGGTCTAAACTAAATACTGCCGTAAGTACCCCCGTTTTTAGAGATGTGGGTACGGAGGAAAAGAGAGAGGGTTTTATTTTCTGACGCTGCGTGAGTTCCCTGACACACCGGGGACACATATTTATGTATAAAATACATCAAAAAGTGCATTTTGCATGATAGGTCCCCTTTAAGTTAATGTATGTAATGTATTACATCATCCAGTATTGGATATTCTTGATCATAGAAAGGACACACTTTAGTCCAATACATATGCATTGCCTTCTACACATTCTCCAGTCAATTCGTTAGATTTCCATAAATCATTTGCTATTTAGCATATATAATCAAATGCACGTTCTGCCTCTGTGGATGGTCAACATATGATAAATTCTTCCTAACCAAACTATTGTTTAACGGTTGAAATCCAAGGTTTTACAGAAAGGCATGCTTTTTGAGTGCTCAGTGTTTTCAATTAATACCTGTCATTACATTTTAAAAAGGTACAATCCATCTCGATCTTAGCAAACCGTTATAAGTGACAATCTGTCTCCAGGGATGGTCAAAATCTAAAACATTCTTGCGATTATTTTTTATAACAACAAGGTATATTTTTATCATGCAAAGCTTCTTTCATTGCTGTTTCTTTCTTTCTGGTGCACCATTTAGTTATTATTCTTTGTTTTAATGGTAAGACTAGCTTATATTTCAGAATGGCGACTGAACTATTTTAATATTGTTGAAATCTAAGGCTTCACAAATAAGCATACATTTGTTGAGTTTTTCAAATAGTGTTTTGATGAATACTTGCAAACATCTTAAGAAAGTAAAATCCATGTGTAGTGCAACAGTACCATCCACTTAACCATCGAATGCTTCAAACACACACTTTCATCTGGCGGGATGCACTTGTGTTCTTTTTTTCTGACTTTCTCTCAGACGTAGTCATTACTGCCATACTCCCTTGTTGATGATATGGTGTCTTCCACCATCTATATGGGTTTATAAAATACATTTTTATCTAGAAAGCCTGTCTTTTATTCTCTGTCTGTTGTCCAATCTTTCTTTATTCTCCATATTCCCTCTGCTCGCAGTACTTTTGTGTCTCTCTGGCTCTCTGTGTTTGCCGTATTCTCCAATTACCTCTTGAAAATGCACAGGTCATCTTATTGATATTGCCGAGCTAAAAGAAGAAAACATGTGGTAATAAAAGCAGACAGTCCAAATGGCTTTTTTCTCTCTCCTTCGAAAATAGACTCTTGCTGCAATTTTTCACTCTGAATTTAGCTGAAAAGCTCCTTGTGATGGTTTCTCTCAAATGGAAAAGCTTTTAGTTTAGCTTTTGGAGACAATTCTCGCGCAATGAGCTGACCTCTGTCTCCTCACCCTGTTTCCACCGTTCCCTCTTCCTAATCGATGTCTCTCCCTTTCTACCTCCATTACTCTCCCCCTCGCTCCCAGAAGGACGAGTTGTCCCGTGTGACTGGCTTTCTTCCGGAGAGCGGTAAGGAGCAGCTCATGTTTGAGGTGCCTCTTAATGACACCGGCTCGGCAGGCCTGGGCATCAGCCTCAAAGGAAACAAGTCCAGGGAGACCGGAGAGGACCTGGGAATATTCATCAAATCCATTATACATGGAGGGGCAGCATACAAGGTAAGCAACAAACAAAGACAACCTGTGTCCTGGAATGTAATCATTGTTACATTTGGGAAACATGTAAGACTTACCTGAAGTTAGTGTTTTTGACAAGCGTATGGTAAAAAAAGCAACGTTTTTTCCAAAGGGAGTCAAAAGAGTGTCATTAGAGAGTCCAAAGAGTGTGTTTCCGTGTCCGGTTCTGAGCCGAAACCATATTATAAACCAGGTTTGCGTGTTTTTGATTGACATTTACCCAGGCCAGTACATGTTGGTGGCTTACGTAAGAAGATGTTGATGCATTTAAGTGAGCAGCAACAGTTTGTGGCGAGTTCGACAAAGAGTAGAAAGTTGGTGGAGAAGTTGTGATTGCAATCTATTCTAACTTCGTAAGTATAGAGGAACTTTGCCTATCGTGTGGAGGATAAGCAAACCAGTTCTTAGGAGGTTTCCAAGTCAAACCAACAAGGACCCAACAGTTATTATAGCACGGTGCTCGAATGGAATGAATATCAATGGGAAAGGCGTATAAGAGAGTTCACCTCCTCAATCAACAAAAACTGTAACAGTATATAAACTGACAAGTAGCGTCAAGAGAACTTATTATTCATGAGACAGTCTTCTGGGGACACCACAGCTGTCTCTGCGTCTCCTGCCTTGTGCTCCTGTTCGGTTAACCTTTGACCTCTTACTCACCAGGACACACTTGATATGTCGTGGACAGCAGAGAGACAGACAGACACATGCACTCACATGCATGTTTGGGTTCACAGTGTTTAGTATGTGTGTGCAGACGGTCAAGAATAGATGGAAACAGGTTCTCTGTAGAGGCATAAATACTACACAAGGGAAGTCAGACAGACGGAGCTGATGCTAGTCTCTGTCTGTGTGTGTCTGTGTGTGTTTGTGTGTGTCTGTTTGTGTTGTTGGTTGGTGCCGTTATTTAAGTCATGTCATGTATGTTATGTTGGTATGGCCCCCTCCTAGGTTAGCTTTGTCAGCAGTGTTGCTAGCACTTTTATGTCAATCACCCTTGTTAGCACCATTAGCACTGTTAGCCGTAGCCGTTTTGGCTCAGCCACCTCCATGTTTGCTTGAGATGCAAATGCAGGCAACTCTGGCCCAGTCTCCAAATTTGGTACATATCACCAAAGTGAACAATCATATATTTATCCACCCTTGATTGTGATCTGCTCCAAAAATCTAGTTTATGTACCCTTCTCCTAAGTTTCATGAAAATAGGGTCTCTAGTTTTTCCATTATTTTGTCGACAGACAAACAAACTGAGCCTTGGTAAAGGACAAACATGTACATGGTTATTACCAATAGACAGATGCACAGACCTTCATAAAATGCATAGTTCTACATTCCAGTTAACTGAGAATGCAGACTTTGTTTAATCCGCCTGATGTGTGTGATTTACAGGATGGTCGTCTGCACGTCAACGACCAGATGATGGCAGTAAACGGAGAGTCGTTGCTAGGGCGCTCCAATCACGTGGCCATGGAGACGCTCCGCCGCTCTATGTCACAGGAGGGAAACGTTAGAGGGATGATCCAACTGGTGGTGCTGAGGGCTCTGAAGGTACACACACAACCACACACACTTAAACTAATGACACATTGACTCAGGGGTGTAACATGAATACAAGAGCAGCCTTACAAAAGGCCTTTACTGAAATGTTCATTTTCACTTTGCTCTGGTGAATGTCATAACATGTAAAAACACAAAGTACTAAACAAAAATAACATTTGTATTTGGAAGACTTAAAATGGATAGTAGAACACAAACTGCATTAAAAAGTGTTCTTAATAGACTTTGGTTTCTCTTTTTATATTGTCAAAACATCCAGAATCTAGGTTAGGACCCCTGCTGTGACAATGAGAGCCCATGCTTGCCACTGTTGCTTAACTAAGACGAAAACAAACATGCATGTCTCTTCTATCTTCCCTCTGGATCTCCTATCCCCTCTTCTGGCTCTGACTACTGAAAGCATCTTTCTTTCTTGCAGTCTACTGCCTCTGACTTTTTAGCCCTTCCATCCATTCTTCACATACTTGACACGAGTCACCCTGCTCTTACCAGCAGCAGCAGCAGCAGCAGCAAAAGATCATTTACACTCCAGCTATTCAGATTGTGTCTGTGTGCTTCTTTGTGTGTGACTGAGTGTTCTTCACTGTATCTTTTTTCTAGTAGAGGAAAGGCGCTTTTCACCTCGGCTGCTTTTCAGCTGGTGCCTTTTACATGGCTCTGTAGAATATTTGTACAAACCTTTGCACACACAAAGCTGGGTTGTAGGTTCAAGTGTAAACGGCCGGCCTCTGCATGGCCTGCTTGTAGTGGGAAAAAAGATACATACAGTGCCTGCTTAAAATATTTGCACATAAGCACAACAAACAGACACATACTGTAGGTACACACAAATAAAAACACACAATAAAAAAGTACCAGTATTTAGCTGAAAATCTGAATCTGAATGTTTTATCTCCCAGGAAATTGGGTTTCTTGACAGTTGATCCATTTAAGAATAAAACAAAAATAATAATAATATACACAATCAATTAAATATTTATGTAAACACAATACATTGGTGTAAGAATAACTTTTTTTCAAATGTATAATATTCATAATATATCATATTTAAAAAAACTAAAGTAAAATGTCCAATACAAATTACGAAACAATTGAATAAAAAAAATTACCGTAATTTTCGGACTATAAGGCGCACCTGAATATAAGCCGCAGCAGCTGCATACCACTCTCGGTTCCACTTTTACTTTTGCGCGCTACCTGTCTCACTCTTTTCCGGCCTCCAGCTTTTCCTGCTGGAACCCGCCGCTTAAAGGTGGGGGTCCGCGGACCGGCCATAGAGCCCATAGAGTTAAAGGTGGTGGCCGTTAGCTGTAAAAATCCATAGATTAGCCGCACCGTTATATAAGCCGCAGTGTCGAAAAATGGGGAAAAAGGCGCGGTTTATAGTCCGAAAATTAAGGTAAATGTAACATGTATCTTAACAATGTTTTTAACTAAATAGTTCAATAGCCCCACGATCTACAGCTTCTTTCAAAAATGATAAACTGTCATTAAGATTGATTGCAATGCATTTGTAATAAACAGGATTACTTTCAGATAATTGTGCCCATGTGCATTGCTACATGTGAAGTGGTGTGCTTGCAGGGCATCCCCTGTCAGTAGCTTGATGGTGAAAGCTGTTAGCAACATCGTAGAGTAGCATCCATGTTAAGAGAGGAAAAGAAAGGATAAAAAGAGAGGCAAACAAATGCAGATATACTGTAAGAGACTGTACCTTTTTAAAAGGCTTTTTTTTGGCTTCAGTATTGATGCTTTTAACATTTCAGAAGTGGACCACTCTACTCTCCTTTTTTCTTCTCTATGTCCTTTGCCCTGTCTCTCACTCAGTTCTTCATACTGTATTCATCTCCAGCCAACTCTCTTTCTCTAATCTCTCACTTCATTATGCAGCTGCTCTCTTTGTTCACTAACTGCCCAAATACCCCATATCTCCAAGCTAAATAAGCATGGCTCAGCAGAGGTTCCTGAACCTGAAGCTGCTCGCTGTGGCACTGTCACTATACCTACATTGCTTGATACACACTAATGGCTTGATAATGCACATTTGTAAATAGTTTCCCAGTGATCAATACATCACATCACATATTCAGCTATTTAGATTTAGTTGATCTCTCATTCTGAAAATATACTTTAACATCCTTGACATGAAAACATTTTTCTATAAATATAAGACTTTATACTTAACTTTTGACATGTAATTCAACTCCTTAACTCCTTCCTTACCTTCAAGCACTCTGAGACATTAGACTTACTCCACCATAATAAACTGTTCAACACCAACAATACTTACAGTAGTCTGCATAACCTGCAATTATTCGACTGTGCAATACTAATAACACTTAGGATTAATACCTTGTTAAAATGTACATTTCAAGCATGAATCTGAATTTCATCAATAATATATTTTTTATAACGTACATACCACTTTATATATTCAGGTTATTTATTTTCACACAAAGGTACATTTGGTTTGCAGATTAAAGACACACTCAATTGTGACAGCACAGACAACAACTCCATTCTCTAATTGCAATCTTTTATTTTGACTTATTGTGTTTCTTTTTACATATTTTATTTTAATTTTCTCTTTGTATTTTTTATTTCATTCCAAAATGGAAAAACTGCCACAAAACAAATATAATAAACTATAAATAATATATTCTGATTATTTATGGGAAAAGAGCACTCTAACATAAAACCAGATTCAGTTTTATGTTTTGTAGAATTGTTCCTAACATTTTACTGTAACTAGAAACTACGTTTTGCCTCAATAATATCTTCATTGAAAATAAACCTTATCTTTTTCAAGATCAATCTGATTGCACTATGCCACCAGCTAATGGGATGTGTACTGGGAGACAGTGGGGGAGGGGAGGGGGTCCACAGGACCTCTGACACTCTGAAGAGTGATGAAGCCTGGGCTTGAAATTAGGGAGCAGGGGCTGGCGCTCGGTGGGGGATCAAGAGGAAGATGACAGAAAGGATTTATTACGCGCACACAGCGCTGTCATGTCTTCTCCTGTTTGAGTCTAAACAGAGAAACACAACCAGAACGCCATACATATGCATTCATGTTAATGACTAGTTTCCACACAGGAGACACAGACATGCAAATTCAATTCCTAAAGAAATAATAAACGCACAAAGGGACACATTATTACAGGGGACTAAGAGGGGGGGGGGGGGGGGTGTCAGTGTGAGTGTCACTGCCACACACACAGGAAGCCCTGGTAAAGACAGTTACAAGCCTGAAGGCCATGGGAAATAAGCTCCCCTCTCTCACCTTGATCCTCCGCTGTCTCTCTAGTGTCTCCCTCTTCTTCTCTTTCTTTCTACATACTCAACATCTGATTGAGTTGCAATGGACTGCTACAGAGCACTCAGCTACTTTTCTGGCCATTTGAATGCAAATTACATCAAACATTAATAAAGATTCATATAAAATAAAAAGCTTGTGAAAACTCTTGTATTATGGCTTCTGTTGCTATGGAAGTGATGATGTCATCAAGTCAATATAGGCTTGAACTTGTGTTTTTATGTTTTAACGTATGAGGTTCTAAAACAGATTAACGGATGATATACAGAAGCGGTTGGATATTTACAAGGCAGATGTTTTTTATTTGCGTAAAATCTTTGTAATTTGAGTCAAAATAAATACATTAAAAATGTTTTTGGTGTTGAAGGAAGTGCAATGTCTTTAGAGCCTTCGTGGGGTTGAACAGAAATTTATTTTTCCTAAACTATTAAACATTTTATCAACACATTTTTACGTGGCTGCATTTGCTTACTTTAAAACAATGTTGTGTCCATTATCTGTCTGTCTGTATAATGTTTTTTCTGATATTCGGTATTTGTTTCCTCTCTGTTTTAGGATCAACTTGGGGTGTCACCCAATCGCTCATTCGACAGCTCCTCTGGTCTGATGGGTCCAGTGAATGGTCAGTCCATGGTGAACAACTCTCTCTATGCATCTCATGGTGAGTGGACTTTGATCATCATCATTGTTGGACAGCAGGCTAATACACATGACATCTATGAATCAAGTGTATTCTTTTATTCATGAATAATCTAGCACTATTATCTCTGTTTGTATCCTGTCTCAGGTCTCTTTATATGAGGTCAACTCAAAGTATAAAACGTAGCAGTGAACAGCTACTTGTTAAGAAAATAATCCGGAACATCCCTGAAAAATATCTGGAAATCTAGAAACATTGCCCATTTGAGTCATAATTTTACATAATACATTTACCAATATTTAATCTTAGGCATTTTCTTTGGGCATATACATTTTTATTTTTATCTGTTCAATTATTATGTATTGTTTTGGGGCAATTTTCACCTCTATTAGATGATGGGAGAGAGATTGTTGTGACATGGAACACATTTACAAATGTCCCAAAACTGATCCAGGCCTTCCAAAAATCCATCCAACTTTCATGGCTTGGTGGAATTTTTGTCAAATAGGGCCTGGGTCCTGGGCTAATTTGTCAGTTTTCGCATACTTTTGATTTGTCTTACTAAAGCCCATTAAGAAATGTTTGGCATATCAATGTTTGGTATCTTTTTTTTAAGGACAACCTCACCTATATATCCTGATAGTTAATTTTTTTCATTTTGAGATAATATATGAACATTTTGGATCCAAAATCACCAAAAAACGTAAAAACGGATTTTGAAAATTATGTTATTTTTTATATAGGTAACACAAACATGCACAACAAAACAATTTGAAAGCTGGAAATATATACATGGGATGTCACTATGATGATGTGAACGTTTGATTGAGGTAGCATGAACCTATATACACATTTTATGAACAAATAACAGGTGTATCCATAGGCGTTTTTTCCTCATTTCTCAAGTTCTGTCAACAGTGACACAGTAGGCACAACAAAACATTTAAAAGCTTAAATAATGTACATGGAATTTCATTCTGATAAGGCAAAAGTGTTATCATAAATATAATACAAATATGTATATATATACATTATGTACACAATTTTTTTTTTCTGTCTTTATCTGTGCCACGCGTCAAAGCAGTTTCTGTCAACTATGATAGGGGTTCCCAACCTTTGTTGTGCCAAGGACCGGCAGATCCATTAAAAAAAAAAATCAAGGACCGGTTGTCAATTTTAACCTTGGCACAACAAAGGTTGGGAACCCCTATCATAGTTGACAGAAACTGCNTAATAACACTTTTGCCTTATCAGAATGAAATCCCATGTACATTATTTAAGCTTTTAAATGTTTTGTTGTGCCTACTGTGTCTTGAGAAATGGGGGAAAAAAGCCTATGGATACACCTGTTATTTGTTCATAACATTTGTATATAGGTTCATGCTACCTCAATCAAACTTTCACATTATCATAGTGACATCCCATGCATCTATTTCCAGCTTTCAAATGGTTTTGTTGTGTATGTTTGTGTTACCTATATGAAAAATAATATCATTTTCAAAATCTGTTTTTATGTTTTTTTGTGATTTTTGTTCCAAAATGTTCATATAGTATCTCAAAAATGAAGAAATAACTATCAGGTTATATAGGTGAGGTTGTCCTCAAAAAGATACCAAACATTGACATGCCAAACATTTCTTAATGGGGTTTAGTAAGACAAATCAAAAGTATGCGAAAACGGCCAAAGGGTTAATCCAGGGCCAGGGTTTTCACCAGCGGAGGTGCGGAGATGCACGGATGTACGCTGGCGAGGTGAGCCGAGGATTCCGAGCTGGCGAGAGTTTACCGGTTGGAGCTGGTGTGCGTGGAAGCACGGGCGAAACACTGGCGAGGGGAGCCGGGGATCCAGAGCTGGTGAGAGTTGACAGGCTTGAGCTGGTGTGCGTGGAAGCACGGAGGAACACAGACGAGGGGTTGGTGGCTGGACATGGCAGGCAGAGGAGTAGGCAGACGGATACTGGACAGAGAGAGCACAAGGTAAGGATAACAAGANGAGGATGAGACCAGGCTGAGCCGCCGAATCCCTCGGAACATCATAAAAGCCATTTTCAACGGTTTTCTGGTGGAAGATTAACTAGGCTACTGGATGAAATAATATGACTGGTATATGTGCGAAAAAAAAAAAAAAGATTATGATATATCTTTTTTATATATTTATAATTCTGCAAATATTACGATAAACTCAAAGCTATTTCGCGGCCCGGCAGTAACACCTCCGCGGACCGTTGGGAACCCCTGAACTACGACACAGAGGGCAACATCACAGGCTCCTCCTCCATGTCAAAAAACAAGCTTATAGCTTGATTCACGTTCAGAGTTCTCTTCATCATAGTTGAATCTTCAAAACTCTAAATCTATCTAACTATTTCTAAATTCTCAATGTTTGTCTGTCACTTTACTTCAATTGCCGTCTCTTTTCGTCTCCCGCCGCCTGTCTTCGTATATCTTCGTCTCTCTCCATTTCCCGCCGTCTCTCTTCGGTTCCCGCCGTCCCTCTTCGTCTCTTTTCGTCTTGCTTCGTATCACTCCGTTTACCTGATTACCTCACCGACTCCCTGGTAAATACATCCTGTTGAGCAGGATCTACAGTTTCCAGTATGTTCCGTTTCGTAAAATGATAAAATACGGCGAAGATATTAAAATATGTGCTTCCATTTTTCATACTTTTGAAATATATTTGTATAACTGTAGTACTGAATAATTGATACCCCAACTAAGCCAGTCACACCATTGTCTAACAGGATAAAACAATACATTGCTGCCACTGACATGGATAACATCCCAACCCCACTGATTGGTGGAGGATACAACCCAGGGTGTTAATTCTACTTCTTTGTTTATTAAGAGTTATTACTGTAACTGTGTTAGTCCACACTCAGCGGTATTTTCTTCAAAATGGTCCGTTTTCAAGTATTGATTTGAGCTTCAGTGACTGACTTTTGGAGAAATGCTTCCACATACACAACCCTTATTTAGATGGTTTGCACTTAACAACGATTACCTCTATTTTTAAGGCTGTTTCCATTTGGCAGAGATGGACAACATTCACTGGGAACATCATTCACTACTAATTGCTTATTTCTGATTTATTTTCTTTCTCACACCCTCAACAGACGAGCACTTTACATTGTATAATAGCTTTACAGACACACTTACATTTAAAACCGAATCTCAGGAGCTTTTATTCTGACCCTGTTCCTTCCCTGATTTAATCTTCCCCTGTTATTGCGTTTTTCTCTTTTATTGTTTGCCATTGAAGCAGGATCAAAGTTGGGCATATCATTTGCAATATGTTCATAAAGTGCTGAATAAGTTTGATGAAAAGTAAAGATAAAACAAACAAAACCAAACAGATACTGCCTTTTACACTGCAGCCTTAATTAGAGCTATGCTAGCCCCTATTCTCCGTTCATTTCTCTCCATGATTTTATTTCTCTCATCTTTTCTCAAGGTTGTTCTGTTTGTTAGTTATTGCTTGCTCCGGCGCATTAGAACAAGTTATTTTTGTTCTTGCTTCATATCGCTTCATTTTCTCTTTAATTCAATCCCACTCCTATATTATCTGTATGTCCTTGTGTGTGTGTGTCCTTGTGTGTGTGTTTGTGTGTGTGTGTGTGTGTGTGTGTGTGTGTGTGTGTGTGTGTGCGTCTGATGTGTCTTTGTCTCTGTGTTGAATACACCGTTTATTTAGGCTTTCTTGTAGGTGTAACATGCTGCTCTCTTTTGGTGAATTTTCATCACATCATCACATAAACAATGCATCATAATGCTATTTCAATGATGCTAACTCTTGAGCCCCACTGATCATTTGAGCATTTTCTCTTTCAGCCACTACCTACTGCCCCCTTCTACCGAGCACCACTGATCCTCAGATGAGGTTTATCTTAGTGTCTCAGCTCTGGTCATGCTCAATGGGACTGACCAGTTCCCACTGTGAGAATCACACAGATTATCCCCAGCACTAGCCTGTCCCTCCAGCGGCACAGAGAGGGAAAGAGGAGAGGGAGAGAGAGTAGGGAACGAGCGGCAGAAGAAAGAGTGAAAGCAGCTCCATTGAGCAGGAATAGGGCAGCTCTCTGAGGAGGATGGCCATGAATCATGCGGCAGTTACTCACCACTTATTATGAACATCCTGTACTGGCTGGATTGATTTTCCCCAACCATTCACAAAATGTCATATAGTGAAGATGGAGCAATAGGTAGAAAGCGGCTTCTGCGGCTGGCCTACCAGCTGGATGATTTAACGCCCCGGGTGGCTGAGCTGCAGAACGGCTAGCTCGGCAATTTACGAATGTAAAAGCCTCCATATAGTTGGGATAAGGAGCGGAGAAGTTGGAAAAGAACGAGATAGCGGGCAAAAAGGAGGAAGAATAAGGGGACTGAAAAGAGGGGATGGGAGGAAGGAGTGATTTCAAAAAGTCATTAAAGAAAGAAAAAGCCATGTCAGCTGTTTTCATTTGCATTGTAGTTCAAATTCTGATATCTTGGCTTTTTTTATTCTTTCGTCAACTTAGGATGGAGGTTTAAGTTTGATTCATGCTTAATGACTAAATTACAGGTCAAATGCGTGTACAAGTTTTTATGTTTTTAACAAACTATTTTATTATCAGGTGGTCCTCATACATTGTTATATTTTCAGTTTATTGTCCTGTTTATGAACTGACTGAAGGTGGATTGTAAGCAAAAACAGAAAAAGCATGGGTGTGTGTGCATGTGTGGCATCTGACACACTAAAAGACGAGGTCACAGGCGCCAACTTTTTCCTCTCCTCATGTCCATGACCGTGTCCATCGGCATGGGCCCGCCCCCCCGCAGAGCCTCCTGGCACTGAGCGGCCGGGGCTTACCTCAGGTGGATGAAGCTCTGAATATGACGGCTGGAGAGATAGGTGGGCCTCAGAGAGCCCAGAGTGCTAACTGGTCCGGTCTGCTCTGGTCTAGTTTGGCGGTGGTCGGGTTGTCTAGCATGGCTGGGCTTGGCAGGGCTGGGGATCAGAAGATCAGCACCTCCTGCCAGCCGCC